AATTCAATGAAGACCTATCGATAGCACAGTTTCGTTTTATTTGAACAGTAAACATACCAGGTCCTTTCTCCAAGGGCATTTGACAATAGCACCGAGGGAACATCCAACCCCACACTGCAGCACTTGCTACGGCCAGATGTTCCAGAATTTACATGGACAAAGGAAGAGCACTTCAATGCTAGAACCACCAGAAAGCCCGGCACCGATTTGCCTTTGAGGATCCAGATCAAAGAAAGCCTGGGATCGGTGAGTTGGAGGCTTCACAAAGTTGTGGGTCACTTAGGCAATGCATGCATTCAACCTAGACACAAGAATCCAGCAGGCGATAAAACATCCATAAAGTTTTTGTTTCGCTGGCCCCTGTTTGACGCTGCCGGCTGCTCCGGGACATAGTAAATTATGTCAAACTTCGCTGCTGAATAGTTGGCATATCTCATAAATGAGGTTGTTCTAGCTTCCCCCGCGTAGAACTCCAGGAAATCAACTCCCTGGCAACATGAGTGTGTGCACACGAGGCTCCAACCAACAAACCCAAGGCCTGATCCAAGTTGAACTGGCCATCCACCCAATGAAGCATGCATATGAGCATGATCAGAACCTAGGCCGCGATTTGCCAGACTACCACCCTATACACCCCAGGCATTATGCTTCCGCAGTAACTGCAACGTATACACAAACAGCTCCAAGTCCTTGACCTTTGGAGCTCCAAGCGCACGCAAACGCCAAACAATCAAATCTAAATCCATTGCACTGGCTTCGACCCCATCAACTACACTAAGAGGCAAAAGGCTCTTGCATGCAGCATGGGGCTTCATGGTAACAGAAGCCGTTAAGGTAGGATTTGCACACACAATGGCACCGATAAACATGTCAGAAAAACTCTTCCTGCTCTTAGCGCGCAGTCGTTGCAGGATTGCATTCTTTGGCCTCTTGGCCTTCGGCGCCATGAGAGGTTAAGGCCTCAGCAGAATCGAGTGATCGTGACTCAGCGACTCAGGGTCGGTTAGATGATGGAAGGAAGGGTCTTGGAAGGGGAGTCACCACAAAGGGCGCCAACTCCTGAATTGAAATCTCAATCCCAGCTGAATCAAAAATTGTGGAAAGTTGGGAAGGAAATGGGTGAGTACATCAAGGACAGAAAGCATGCAGTGGTAGTGCAGCACGTTTTTTTGCAACGTCGCTCAGGTCATGACTTTCACTTGTCCACTGCAGCTGAGGGTGAGGCACCACAACTGAGACTCAGGGTGCCTTTTATCCCTCAAGCTGCAGCCCAAACCCCAAGATGAGCTGCGCAGAAAACAAAACACTGTGGATTTACCTGCGGATTTCCCAAATTGGTTGATCAGCAGCCCCTCCAAAAGCGCTATTGCTGTGCCCCATGAAACTGCACAGCTAGCAAAAACAATTGGTCTCACTTTTCAGCAGTCAACCGTGCCAACTCATTCAGCACACGCATGCCATTGTACTTGAGGATCGCAAACTCCTGTTCGATATCAGCATTGCTTTTGCACACATTCTCCATGTTGTTCATCACCATGTGGTCGACCATCAAAGCCTCAGTCTGGGGAAGTGACAAAGGTAAACAATTGTGGAAAACACGCAGTGAGGTTTGTAAAGCGAATGAAACCAGTCATTGCCCAAACATAAGCATAGAAACATACATCTCCGCCGCTTTGATTGCACAAGCCAAACGGGCCACATCACTGACACAGTCGTTGGTGAAAGAAAACAACTGGGTGAAGGCTTTTCCATCCGAAACAGCATCACTGTTCACTTTCATTCCACAGGTGTGTTTCTTCCAGTAGATGTCGAGGGAGCAGTTCCACAACGGTGTTAAGTGGTACTTGGCCTTTTTCTTGAAGGCTTCATCAACCTGTGTGTCTTTCTTGAAATGCCCAACATACTCATGAATCTTTTGGAAGCGATCCTTCCTGAACAGGTCCTTCCTGTCCAGGCCAGGCTCCTCTGTGCCTGCCTTGCGTCTCTTCCTAGTGCTTGCCTTGTTGTCAGCAGCCTCTGTAGCCTTCTGCTTGTTGGTTTGGTTGGCCTTTGCTTTTGCTTTTCCATTGGTCTTGGACTGCGTGCCACCCGTCTCTGTTGGAACTGCTTGTCTTCGTGGCTTGGGCGCAGACTTTGCAGCAGTTGCAGTTTTCCGGGATTTCTTTCTCTCCTCAGATTCAGGCACTCCTTCGCCTGAGCTTTTGGTCTCTCTGGACTTGGAGGCTGAGCGCAGAATTTGGCGCCGTCGAGACGCCGATGTCTTCGCTGGGCTCTTCTTCACCTTTCCCCCTTTCCCCTTTGCCGTTTTCCCTTTTCCATTTTTCCTATGTTTTTTTGTCTTTCCCTTGCCAGCTTTTCGGGACTTCTTTTTTTTTCCCTCTTCTTTTTTGTCAGCGTTGTCGTCTTTCCTTTTCTGCTTTGCTTTCAATTGCTCCTCCCGGGTAAGGACATAGTCGTCCAGGATGTGATGCTCTGAATGGACGATGGTACCATCTTCCTCGCAAAAAAACGACAAAACAATCTAAATAGTAATGTGATTTATTGTTTTGTGATCTGGGCATGGCATGAGCACCTGTCCTTCACCTCAAATTGTCCGGCAGGCAATCCAGAAACATCCCCAGAAGAGTCCCCAGAAGGCGCGGCTGGGGGAGGATCTGGAGCCTCCACCTGTGACTCTGGAATCTCAGCACCAAGGACCTTGGTCTGACTCCCTTCCTGAGGGGCCTTAGTTCCAGCATAGGCTTTTCGCCTTTCATCAGCTGTTGTCTCTGGTGATATTTCCGGTTGTGGGGGCGGAGTTGGTGTAGGCATAGAAGTGACCAAAAGCGGTTGGGTTTCAAATTCATCAGCGCCATAAGGTAAGGAATCCACCACTTCTTGCACACTCGGGGCATTTCCTGGTCAGAAGCGCATAGGTACGTTTACGTTTGGAAACATGCCTTGATGTTGCAAGCTTGGTAGGAAAAGTCTGAAAGCCTCCTTCAGTGGGTGTGACCACCGGCTTAGCGGCAAGATTTTCCTGCTCGACCTCAACCTTTTTCTGGCGAATCCTAGGTCAGATTCATTGGGTGTGATTTTCCAACGTCCTTTTTGGTGTGTGCGGTATAAGGTCCCAACTGTGTCAACTTGGCCTTGGCCGCCTCCAACCTTTGTTCCAGCTCCTGCTTCGAAAGACCTGACCAAGCTGGCCGACCCCCAAAAAAAGATTCTTGCACACCGCTAAAACCACACCTCCACTTGGCGCAGGCTCCGCTGTTGGAGAAACCGTTGATGAAGAAGCCAGTTCTGGAGCCACTGCGGGCTGCGGCGGCATAGCTTCGGCGTTGGCCGGGGGGGCCACAGGAGTTTCAGGATGAAGTGGTTTGGACTCATTGGCTTCTTTTTCGGGATCCTCTTTAGGTGGAACTGTTCCAACTGGTTGAAGACTCCCATCAACGAAAGGCTCAAACTTTTGGGTGGCGTCATCATAAGCATCCTCATCGGATTGTTCCTGAAGCAACAGTAGCGGTGTGTTTGGAATTGGCATCCCTCATGCATGGTGGGTATGAAAGGACGGCTTTGAAAAGGTCCTCATCCACAAAGCTTCCACGTTGATGCCGGGCGTTGACATCATTAATGATCTCCTGCACACTAGTATAACAGTAAACAGTATGCAACACATGAAGCCGTTGATGAATCTCCTCTAGATGCGGCGCCAGAAGTAGGATCAAGTGCTGGAACTTTGGATCCTTTGTTCTTGCAAAAGAAAACCCACAGGTGGAGGAAAATGCAACAAGGCATCCTAGAAAAAAGGAAAAGGATCCTATGTTTCAGGATCAAGCTTCCAGGCTCACTTCACACCTTCTAGCTTTCATCTTCACAAAGCCACAAAGTTTGCGCATTACCCAGCAGTTCGCTCCAATGTCACTTGAAGAGCGATTCTGCTTGTTCTTCTGGTAGAGCGTGCTGATTTCATGGCGAAGTGGGTCCACTTCTGGAAGCTTGAGCTTTTCACCAGAACCAAGCATGCGCACCAAAAGCGGTTCAAGAACTTCAGCAATGCCAACTGCTGACTTGATGTCATCAGTCCCATGATCTTCGGGTACTAACATGGCACCATCCCTCAAGCGATCACGGATTGCAGGGACAGCATCCCAATCCATGTGAATGCCACCAACATCAGTGCGTTCACTAGGCAGCCCTAGGCTCTCGTCAGACATGGGGTGCTCGACTCTACTACCTTCGGGAAAAAGGTCACTTGCTTGAGCCCAAGGGTCTTGAAACAGGAACATCATGCCCCAACTTGCGCTCTCCAGGAGATCCAGCTGACTGAGGGCCCGAGCCATGTGGAAAAGCTGCGCCATGAGCGTTCCCAGTGGGAGTGACAAGAGAATCTGGTTCTACACCGCAGTACCAATTGCTAATGTACTCCATGATTCCTGTCACTGTCACTGAACTCTTTTCTGGATGTATTTAGATGGCTTGAATGCTGCAGAACAGGCATCCAACCATGATGCATCAGGAAACCCGAGGTTTCCAAGGAAACCCGAGGTTCGAAGCAACATCCATGGAGAACCCGAGGTTTCAGGATTCACCCGAAGATTTTTCAGGGTTTGGTCGCTTCAGGTATGTAATTATACATCATTTTACAGCACTGATTGGATAATATGGACTCTGGATGAATAAAACCTATGCATATGATGAAGAGGTTTAACAATTCATACGAGAGGGTTTTAGATTGGTCGGTTCATCCATGTTCATCCTGGCACAGATTCCTCGGGGTGCGGATGACCTCGGTGTAGGGTCTTTAATCTGCCCAATACATATGTTGAATCATAATCATGTTAACTTGAATATTGTAGAGTTATGATTCAGTTATGATTAATGATATCCTTAAGCAACCAGTTCTTGTGCACAAATATATATATATATATAAATCATGCATTTCTCAAGTCACTCTTTCTCTCCAGAGCGTCCTCCGAATGGCACCGCCACGACCGAGCGCCGTCCTCTCCGCCCAGGCGCGCCGTGCCACACGGCCTCCCGTCGCGCAACCGAGCAGTGCACGGGCTCCGCGTGGTCGTGGTGTCGACGTGGCGTACCTTGTCGAGCAACGAAGGGCCCAAAGTGGGTGGAAGATGAAGGGTCTGTAGAGACTTCATGAGACTTCGGGTCCTAGTATAGACTTTTCATGACTTTTCATTGTAGACTCGGTATGGGACTACCGGCCCAGTATAGGAACATATAGGAAAATGAAGACACCACCTGCTTCATCAAAGACGCAAGTCACCCCTACCGCGGAGCCCACCGCGGCTCCGCGCGCGGACGCTGAGGCCGCCGGATCTCGACCCGACCGGGTCGACGGGGCGTTGCGGCCAGCAGCGCGGGCGCCAGCGCCGCTGCGGAGGGCGCTGCCGGGGGCGCCGAACGTCGCAAGCAGTTGTCGCTGGAGAAGTTCTTGATGCTGCCAGAGAAGTGGACGAAGGCGGACCATCCTGCGATGGAAGTATTGTAAAATCATGTATGTTTATTCATTAAATTCTATTTCATAAAACATGATTCAGAAAATTATCCCCAGAGGTGGATAGTAAAACCTTTTCGCCTGGTTGGGTTGATTCATCTATATGTATAAAAGATCAGGACTCTGACTGCTCATCATCGGATTGTTCGAACGAAGGACCGATGGATCCGAAAAATGCCGTTTTGCGATCAACCAGAAAGCCCCGGAAGCAAGAGACCAAGAAGCCGCATCGTGCGATGTTTTGTCCAGCAGCCTACAAATTCGTTGTGTTTTGCTTCTTTAGGAAGATGTTGTTGGGCCATGGCTCCAATCATCTCCAATCAGGAACATTTATTTTTTCAGTCCGCTGAAAGGAACCACCGGTCTGCAACGGAGTGCCGAGGCCACGAACGCCTCGGCGAACGCACGGAGTCCGAGTCCAACGAGTGACGCGGAAACCGCTTCGTCGCGACTGGGAGCCACTCGAGCGCGCCGGCAGCTGATGCTGGAGAATGCGGCAGCCAAGGGGGACCTGGAGCATTTGAGGGATCTCCTGGAGGTGCTTCAGATCCGTGCGAGCGAATGTGCGAGTGTTTCGTATCTGACCCACGGTCAGAGGTTTGCTGTCTGATCCCAAAAAATCTACCAGACAGCTTGGTTGATTTGGGGAAGCAAAGAAGTGAGACGACGAACTCGCTAAGGAGCTGCGTCAGAGAAAAGTTGTAATCCTGGAGGACCCTTCGTATCATAATTTTTTGTACCTTGGGCTTTCGTTATGGAATCCCAGATTTCGTTGTATAAATCCAGCAACCGTAGTGGATTCTGAGAGATCGTATGTCTTTTTCGAATCGTATGTTTTTTTCTGGCCCACGCAGCATCGGGGTCAAGTTGCATGCGCAACTTTGGGCATCATCCAGCATACGGGGGCAACGTGCGCCCTTCTGTGTGCATTATATATATATATATCATATGACCCCCTCTGTTTGTTTGTGTTGTTCCAGGTATGCGCAGCCATCGTTGATCCAGGACCGCAAGAGGCCTGGGTCGCTTCTGTGGTTCACTGAGTTAGCTTAAACTTGGAGGGGGTGCCTGCAGCATGAAAGGGAGAACCATGAACCATGGATCTCTTGCAGGCAATGCAGGCTCGAACTTAGTCGCTAGATCGCGAGCCCTTTGAAGCCATGGTGGTAGTGGAGGGCGGAACCCAAATTGAATGCCCAGTCCTATCGGAGTGGGTGAAGATGGACGAACTGGTCCAAAGAGCGGCAAAGGGGCATGTCGCGTTGGTCCGGGGGAAAGCCATTGATCGATCTACCCTGGCTGACAACCATGAATTGTTGCAGCCCCTGTTGGTTCAATATGGCAACTTGCAACCGATTCATAAAGGTTTGAACGGTAGACTTGATCGACCATGCAAATTCAGTGTCCACTTCCACCCACCAAGGCATGAGGCCAAGCTTGGCTGTTTTGGAGGATCTTATTGGCAGGTTCTTATTCTTTTGCAGACCTAGAGGAAAACCTTTGCCAAGCAGCCACTTCGATGCATCCATGCCTGTGAACTCCAGCAACAGTACAACGTACCATATGTGATGCAAATATGGCAACGTGAAAGTACTGCGAATCTATTATTGGACATGCTGCCAAGGTGAATCTATCAAGACTGAAAGCTGGGTCTTGAGGAACCTCATCTCTATCCTGGCTGCAGTTACCAGAAGGCCTCATATCCCACGAAGCCCGGAGGTGCGGGAGTTGTTCAGAACAATTGGAATCCCTGTGCCCGACCGACCACCAGAAGCGGAAGGAACTTTAGTTGCACACTTGTATACTACATGCATGCATGAGATTTGGCCCAAGGTCCCTCAACCGCAAGCCCCAAGCCCCACCAAACTTCCACAGCTCAGGACCCCATGCGGTTGAACATGATGATGGGCCTGATGAGGGCGCGGAGTCGGAGGCGCCTACCGTGGATGCCCTGGTTGAAGATCAGGAAGAGGCAAGCCGCTGACCCATGTATTAAATCTCGCATGCAACATGCATATATACATTTTGTTGCCAATGAATTCGCAGGAAATGGCAGGAAATGGTCCTTCAATCATACCGCTTCTAATGCATGCAGGCTGCACCGACAAACACCGAGCTGACTGCTTTAGATGGACTTCCTGAACATTCTGCATGAGACTTGCTTGCATACAATACTCTTCCAAAAACATTATGGCTAAACGTATAGGTTGATCCAGGTTGATCTTGATTTGAAGAGTGCAGAAACCTTTCCAACTCCCTAGGTGTGGGCGGCCAGACCTCGCCGCCAATCAAGAAGATCGATTCCAGCGAGTTGATCACTCCTCCACCTCGGAGCGCCCAAGCTGACATATGATCAAGCAAAGATGCTTCACCGACCCTTGCATGCTGCTGTACCAATTAATTCAACGCTACGTGCGTATACTACTTTGGATCAGTATCTTGTCTGAGGTGCAATGTTTTCTCCAGAGTCTGGTACCAAACCATCGCCGCATGTGCCTTTGAAGTGTGGTTTCAAGTGCGTTGACTGCAAGCGATGCCACATCTTTGAGGACAAGCTTAAGGGTGTCACATGCAATGCCAATGCTAGTGGGAATCACCGAATTCTCAAGAGGGCTATCATGTGCGAGCATTGCGAATGCACCAGTGATTGCCTTGAAGCCTTCATGAAGGAATCCTGTGCAGGAAGCCCAACCCCAGGTCCAACACCACGGCGGCTTGATCATGAGGCTGCGGCCAAGACCGTGCCACCTGACTCCACGCCTCAGTGGAAGCGAAAGCTGGAGGTTGAGGCGGAACACGTCAAGGCTCAAAGTGAGTTGACCCGGCTCCTGTTCCTGAAGAGTTTGCAGGAGGAACGCATCAAACTGCAACAGCTACATGCTGCCAAACACCAAAGATTGACTAAGCAATCTGGTTCCGAAGCTGCGTTTGAACCTGTGCATGCCCCATGATACCCCACGGTACGCGTGTGTGTTCACCCATGTATGAATATAGAAATCGATTTCACAATTTGCCAACCGGTTGCCAAGGTGTGGACAACATCGAGACCCAGCCCATGCTTCCCTCCGAAGCCGCGGTCTATGCCAAAGCGTATGAGGCCCCGAACAAGAGCGCTGCTGCTGCAGTTGGAAATGAGGAAAAGCCTGTGTGCACGGAGGCTTTGGCTTTCAACATTTGTGCACGCAGCATTTGTACGGATCTATATATATCGATCTAATTATAACGCATGCTTGAAGGCCGAGCGTTCCAACGGCGATGGATCTACTGCTGTTCATGAAGCTCCTGCTTCCGGTGTCCCTGACCCCCCTGCTGCTACTGTGAGTGAAGCAGCCGCGATGCCTGGTGAACATGTGATGTGCAGTGCAAAGGCTGCTGACATGGTTCATGAACATGACGCCAATGGCGCCAACAGAAAACCCGATGCAGTAGAGAGGGAGCCCTGCATTTCACCAGCAGACCAAGCAAAGCAAGCCAAGGACGGCGCAGGTCCTGTAAAGAGGGGGAGGCCTCCTAAGAATGGGAAGCCAAAAGCAAAGGGTGCAAAGCCCAGGGCGGCTACAAAAGCTAAAGCAAAAGCTAAGGCGAAAGCAAAAGCACAAGCAAAAGCTGCGGCAAAATCCAAGTCAAAGGCTTCAAAAGCTAGTGCATCCACCAAAAGAAAGCGATCCACAACTGAATCCACCCCGGGTGCCGAGGAGTCAATGCCAACCAATGGTGCCAAACCAGAGGCATCAGGTGAAGCATCCCCCCACCCATGAAGTCGAAGTGCCCTCAGCCAAGGCAGCCAAGACACCTCGGAAAGCCTCAAAGCCAAAGGCCAAGGCCAAGGGCAAACCAAGCAAAGGTCGAGGGAACAAATCCACAGACCTGTCGTCTGCGCAGATTGAGGCCAAGCAACGCAATGCTAGGAAGTCTAAAGCATACCGGAGAGCTTACAAGGAAGCGCAGGATAACGGGTTGAGTGCAGAGGAGTGCGGGGCAGCTGGAAGGAAAGCCCCCTAGTTCAGCTTAACCAATATTTTATTTGTGCATCTTTTTGCATCGAATATTCATGTTTGTTTTCAGTGCCTGTCCAGTTCTAGCACCTTTCCAGCTTTGAGTTGATTTAAGGCATACGCCGATGCACAGTGAGAGGGATCCTAGCCGCAAAGAGCTCAGCTGTCGATATGCAGTGTTTGAGCTTGCATTTTGGTTGGCCCATCGCACGGGCCTGATTGGGGTTTAGATCACGTGCTGGGGAGTGTCCACAGCGGCATTCAAGTGAACACGTGAGAATGTAGGAGTTTGAGCAGGCCGGAGCTGGCAGGGGCTTTAGGAGCCGTGGCTCATGCTGCGCCCGGAAAAACATGCCCGGGAGATGTGACCGTTTTTTGGGTGAGGTTGCATGTATGTGTCCCAAAGCATGGCTTGTGGGAAAGTGAGTGCTTTTTCCATGCCAGGCGGTGCATCCGCGATGGGCTGGAAAACTCGTGCCAGCTTGAAAGGTGCGTGAACCCCCGCTCTTGCGCCGGCCAGTCTGCACTTGAACTTTTAGGGTTCGATCGAAACTTTTTTTGGATCCGAAGTCAAGTTGCACACATGCACATGTCGTTCAAGTGGAATCCAACAGCTTCTTCTGGCCCAACCACATAGGCAGCTAGGCATCGCAAAGCAACGAGACATTGGCAATGGGTGACCATCCGATTGTACGAACTCTTTTACAAGTACGCGCGCCTAAAGTGTGGGACTCAACAATATTAGTGCCTTCGAGCTGTAGCTAAATATATGTCTGCATGGCATGCAGGGTTGTGTACACGTCGAGCGGCTTTCCAAGGTGTTCGTGGCAGTGGTGGGGACCTCAACCTGTTACCGAGTAGGTCACTGCCATAGATCGATGATTCTTTTGATAACGTCTTGCAGAGTCTTGCATGCATACGAAGTCATGTTAATATCACGCGTGAGGTGCTTTTGCTCGCTTGGAACACGCGCTTGACATTTGATGACCCGGGCAAGCGCTACACCTTCTTAGAAGTGTTTTCTGGAAAGGGTGAAGTGTCAAAGAATATGTTCAGCCCCTAGCTAGCCTGCGTCGGTTTTGATTTGGAAACGGAATTTGATTTGCTTGGCTGACAAGGCATTCATTTGGACACCGGGTTGCGTCCATTGATCTGGACTACAGCAAAACGTCCATGGATTTCTTGGGAGCTAATGGATTTCTGCTGCTAGCTGGAAATGTCATGAAGTGTTCAACAGTTCTCAAAGCACCCTCACAAACTTGAACCATATTGGGCTTGAACCCTGTTCCCAGCGCTCCCAGGCTGACCTTATACTCCATCTTGAATCAGGACACCGGCGGGCTCACGCTTTTCGCGCCTGACTGCGGAAGTTGGGGTGTACCGGCACGAGGCACTAGCATGAGATCCTTCATGAACCCGGATGGTTATACAGCGTATCAGTTCGTGGCAAAGGCCAATACAATGGTATCCCGGAGACTGGACTAATTATGTTGACGGACATCGATTTTCGACCTTATAGTGCACACCTTTCTTTACCATGCAGGGTTTGGAATCCATGGGGCTCCTTTGGCTCACTTAGGATGGTTCTGTGCATCTTCCTGGTATTATCCCGCAACAACTTTTTCTTAGTGGAGCAACCGTCGCAATCACTCTTATTTACGCATAGACGTTGGCAGTATTTGGCCAACAGAGTGGCATGGGAGCCTTGTATGCATGCATGCTGATAGGATTCCAAACGTCTACTATCTCCCGCCCGGATGGCGCCCAGGTCTTCCAGGTCTTCTTTTGGATGGCTTTGCACGGGGGCTTGTCGGCCAAAAGGAGTGTGTTCTTTGGGAACGTCTGCTCAATGGGGCAGTTGGACAAGGGCAAGTTGACGAACAAAGAGCGTGCCAAACGCACCAAGAATACCACAACGCGTACCTTGCCTAGGCCTGTATCACGTGTATGTTTAACACGATCACCAGTTTTTTGCCTTTGCACGTCTTCCTAGGCAAATATGTTGACAAGTCTGGGAAGAAACGATTTGTTGGAGATAAGAAGGCTTTGAAGGCCAGCCAGTACCGGCCTTGGTACTTTGCATGGTGTAGTCAATGAAGCATGCAATATGTCAAAAGACACCATGGACCATATCCCATTATCTCCAGTTCCCAACATGTCCCAACCCTTTGAGGGCGTATCCGGCTGGTCTGGCGACCTCCATCCATGAGCTCTTGATCCAGCAACTTCAGACTCCTCGACATGGCGACTTGCGCTTCCGGATTGCCCCAGAGCCGGGGAAAACAGAACTAGAACTGTTTTCAGAAATGGATCTTGGTGATACGTGGCAAGATGCAAACTTGAGACCGTGCTTCGACTTGTTGATGCGCTGCAAATACACAAGGACTGCATGGATAGCGCATATGGCATGCACATGCATGTCTCAGTTCATTGTCAATTGTTGACTAGTTAACCCTGAAGGATTCCAAACGAATGGATCGAACCAATGAAGCAGTTTGGTGAGGATTGGGTCTCTAGATCAAATTAAGTACTAGACTCGAGAGATGAATTTTGCATGACCGCGTGTGCAAATATATGATCATTAAATGAAATGACTGTCCGAGGCAAAAGCCATTGCGCTGGAGAAGTCTGATCCTGCAAATTCATCCACGGGGTGACACCGGTATTCCGTAGAAATCGGAAAATATCCGATAGCTGACCTATCGGAACAGATTTGTGGGGAAATGTGCCAACGCAATCGTACCGCAATTTTCCGCAATTCTACCGCAATTTTCCACAATTCGGAGCAATTTTAAAAATCTAGTACACTTCACCGATTTTGTCCGAATCTATCCGTTGAAAACGTGCATGCGACCGTGTGTTTGAGCGCTTTTGGCATTTTGGATCGATCTCGAACTCTACCGATATAGGATGTCGGGGGGCGTGTCTTGCAACACGCTCGTGGATGGTACTGAGCTCTTGGCCACAAACTCCACGGGATCTCAAATTAACATGGATGTGGACCTCGATGAGCTGATTAAAGCACATAGCCTAGATTTATGCCATGCATGCGTTGATCAACCCCTGTTGGTTTATAGTCCTATATACTACTTGCCCTCTCGATATTGATCGATCAGGCACAGGAGGAGAAGATCCGTATTCTCCAACAGGCCATGGAGAAGGATGCGGAGCCTTCTGACCTTTCGCGAAAGGACTCTGTCGTTGCAGGTGCTCACCAATTCTTTCTCAGTCTGTTGAGATTCACATTAAGAGCGCGTACGTGTTAACATTTCTTGGGGCCGTTTGAAACGTGTTTTTACATGTTTAGGTGCCCCCATTCTTGCCCGCAGCGATGGGCATTTCTTTGCAACTGGCAACACTGGCGCTGGGGGCACCATGGAAGTTGAGGAAACACTGAAGCATCAACCTACACAGGTTTACATGGTAGATTCCAGTGGTGAACCCAGTCCAGGCCATGATGCACAACCGAAGGAATGGCCAGAAGCATCTCCCACTGCTAGCCCCACTCCTGCTCCCAAGCCTGCCAGCCCAGCTCCTACAGAGCTACAAGCACCATCGCAGCCCAGCACTGCTCAGAAAGCGCAAGCCCCAACCACCCCCGCCCTGCAAGTTTCTTCTACCCCGGGAGCTGCTTCAACATCGCGGGACCCGGAAAAGCGGGATGCCACTTACTTTCGGATTCTCGTATATATATCTCGAACTATTATACATAGGATCGTTTGCTGCATGCACTGCATCCATAAGGATGCGGAGGTATTGCCAATCTCAAAAGGCTTCGACTGAGATTGCACAGCTGTTCAGAACCCGTGATGGAAGTAGCTAGACAGCATGTGTCAGTGGCTGTGCACGCATTCCTCAGCTGTTCTGCAATATATATAATGTATATCGCTCGATCGATAGCAAATCTGAGGGGACAAGATCCGGGACGCTCTTCTTCGGAACGGCATGCAGTTCCCATTGGTGGAGATGCACATTCAAAAGTATGCTACATCTTCGGTTGAACAAAAGAAGGAGGGCAAATCGGTAACCAAACATTACCTTATGACCGCAGAGCATTTTACCAAGCCATGGACTCAGGTCGACATGCAGTACAGTTTTGTGACAATATGTGTCTTCGCACGTGCACTCTAAAATTCTAACTAACTAGTTACATGCATATATGTTCGCCGGCAATTTCTTGAGGAAAATGGCTGACGCTGCCTTTGAGTGGGCGACTGCTAGGAACCTGGTACGCATCAGCCCAATTCATCAGGAAGCAGAGGCTAAATTAGTCTTGGGGGAGAGTTTCTGCGTGAAAGATGAACATGGCACGTCCACCACCGAAAACGCCCGCATGGACCTTGAAGAGTCTCATTTGCACGCAGGTCACTTTTTCAACACAAATGCATACAGTTCACCATCATGCAGTGTCAGGATACATGCATGTGTTAGGACACCAGTGGCTCGATATTCGACAATTCGGGTATCAATGTCAACTCGAGCGTGGACGACATCCTGAAGCATGGTCTAGGCGATGGCTCGGCGGATCCCGCAGAAGCAGCCTTGGTCAACTCCGGCTCTTTCAAGCTTCTAGCCACAGCATGAACTCCTTTGAAAAAACAAATGTGAATGCCTGCGTGTGTTTTGGGAAGAAATGTTGCCGCCTAGGCTAGTCTTCCCATCAGTGCAAGAAAACAGCTCAGCCATGGCCGTGTTGCCTCAGTTCCTTCAAGTATGCGGGAAAAAACTTGATTCTACTGCGGCCGTCCTGGACCGTATACATTCCTGTTTCATCCCTGCGGTGCCCACTTGTTCTATCGTACTGCCTCCACTTCCCAGGACAAATTGAAAAGCATTGGAAGCAACCAAGCAAAGGAGTGGGGGCCTTTGGTGTGAGTAGGCTAGTATGTACAAGCATGAGAGCATGAACACAGTATGTGCCTGCATGCTAGGTATTCCCATCAGATTTCCGTGCACATGGCCACCATGAAGACCCTGTATACAAAGTTGGAGACTCTACAAGGTGAAATGGCAGTCGCTCGAGCTGCGAGGCTGAACCAAGACTGTATTGGATTCCTAGTGTATCTGATGGTTGTGAAGAACCTGACAGGCCGGAGCAACAACAAGAAATGCTCAAACTTTGCGCATCCTGTACGCGCACAGATGTCGCATTGAACAACTTGGTCGTGAGAGCCAGGACCCGGGCTGTGAAGTTGTTTGCGCCAGCATTGCTCGCCCGCCTGCAGGAACATCAAGGCGGTCAAGAACACCTCTGGTCGGGGCAGTGACAAGTCTGGCAAGACTAAGCCTAAGAATTCTCCGAAGCCAAAGGCTAAGAAGACCGTTAAATCGAAGGCTAAATCAAAGGCAAAGCCTTCAAAGCCGGCCAACGCTGAGGCGACCAACTAGTCACCAGTCCAGCCCGTTGGCAATGTATTTTGTGCAGGTCGATATGATCTAGATTCACAAATTCGGGGTGTGGTTGCAATTCAAACAGTGGCAAGCGATGCACACAAACTATATAGAGTGCCAACAAATAACATATAGCTAAATCTTTGTCTTTGTGTTGCTCAGGGTATAAGTCTAGTTGCACGCTGCGCTGTGGCAACGCAGGGGTTCACAATATGTATACATGGACCGAGATGCAAAAGGATGCCAAATGTCCAACTTGCAGCCAAACCAAAAACGAAAGGCGTGATCGATCACGAATACTTTTTTAAAGTGGATTTTGCCCTCGCAGGTCATTCTCGCGGCAACCTCTTTTCTTCACGAATGGACTTGCAAGGTTGGCACCAAGCCCCAGATCCATTTACCACTCCCGGCCTTGCCTGCCACAGGTGTCAGTGTTGAGGACGAAAATGACCTGGCGGACGAGCTGCTGGTAGGCTTCGAGGAAGGGGCTGCTTGGCCATATACAGTGAGCAAAATCATGGGTTTGACATTTGTCGTTCAAGATTGTTCAAGTATATGGTATCGAGGCTGAATCAGCTGCGCGAGTTGTGCGTCTAGCACGGGTGGCAAACAACCGGCTCATGAAACATGGCCCCTTGGATTATTTAATGATGTATGTTCATTTGGCAGGATGCGCATTTGCTATGTGTTTTTTTGGGACCGTTCTTGCAAATGATTGGTCGCTGGCCAGGATTGGCTGATCCTTTGCTCTCCAGGATGGCAAGGTGTGCAAAGTCCCGGAGCGATTCACATGCATGTCGAAATCTGCATAGAGCAATCAAGGCTTTCGGAAAGGAGCTTCCTGTTCGGACCACCACGGTTTCAACGGAGCGTGTGCGGAAGAAACGGATCTTTCCAGTTCAACACCCAGTACTACTTCCTTCCAGCTGGGCAGAAACGATCTTCAACTACGGGGGTCATTTCCTGATGCAGGGTCAGACTCTTGACAATGCTGCCCAGTTTTCTATAGATCTGGTGGATTTCTGGCGCAAGGAAACTGCTGCGGAGCCAGAGTTCAGTCTACCAGAAGATTTTTGGGATCATACGATTCCGCTAGCAATACACGGAGATGAAGGCCGTGGTCGTTTGAAAGCTCCAATCATGGTGATGAGTATTCAAGCTGTTTTACCCCTCCGCTCTGGCAAAACGAACATGGCGGGGCCTTATGGCTTTTCATACCGGTTTACACTTTTTGGCCTTTTTTGTAGGTAACTTCTCATTGCTCCACACCTCTAGCTCCAGGCCGGGGGATGCAATATCTAAGGCCTAGCATGTGCAGCCGCTTGCTCTACACTGTCCTTCCCTCACCTTACACAAAGCGTGCTTTGTTTGACTTGCTGAGAGCATGGGTCACCGACTTGAACAGCATGACAGATGAGGGCATTACAGCAGCTTAGCAATCTTAAGCCTGGAGAGTCAACGTGCCTATCCGTACTAGCTAGTAGAAGTAGCAAGAGCTTTGATTATGCATAGCTTGTTTTCCGCTTCCCGCTTCTAGGTACTTTGGCATGGAGAGGTGCGCAGATACCGCTTTGCAGTGGTGAGTGTCAAAGGCGATTGGCCTTTCTTGAGGTCGGCCATGAGCCTAAACTGTGGCTACAACTGCAAGAACAAGTGCCATCGGTGCAGTCTTAACGAAGCTTAATTTGTCGGGTAAGAATTTGATCTTTGTGGAATTTTATGGAATTTTGGGAGTGGACACATTTTGTGACAAGGTGACCACGGGATAAGATGGTGTATTGCACTGTGTGTTGCAAAACCTCATCCAAGGAATGGTGGGACTTCAAGAATCGTGTGAAGAACCTCCGGCCATGTGATACCAATCCCAACCCTTACAAGAATCACCGAAGTCCACTGGAAGGTCTTCGCTTTTTTGCGGGCCCCAAGTTCATCCGGATAGATCCAGCTCATACTTATGCAATCGACGGAGTGGGGAGGAACTTTTGTGCAAGCGGGCTGGTTGTCCTAATGTTGGCTGGATGGTTCGGTAATGGAAGCCCTGAGCGAAAATTTGATCAGGCATACCATCGGTTCACAGCGTTCTGCAAGACCCATGGCAAGCGCACTTCCATCAAAGAGTTTAGCTACAAGTGCTTGAAGCTACCTGTTGGCTCGTTTCCAGCTTGCATGACAGCTAATGTTTTTCCTTGAGTCCGTGACCCTCACCCCGAAAACACTGGCCCTGGTCATATTCCCTTCAACGCTGCCGCCCAAGGCTACGCGGCTCGCCCCGTGGCCTGGGCAAAGGTCAAGACGCTGGAGCCGTTGGAGCTTGGCTTCTGAACGAGCTTGAACAAATCGATCTGACCTCAATTGACGCATGGACATGTGTTAAGTGCATCGTTTTGCTGGTTGATCTCCTTGGAATACGTTGGGGTGATCAAACCAAGTCGAAATATGTTGAAGTAAACCTCTGACACGCAGCTCTTAGGAACATGAATGGAGGGACACCTTGGAGGTGCTGCGCTGGGCTTGCGCTGGAATAAACAGGTTTTGGCGAAGTGTGTATGGCCACGGGTTGTGGCTGGGACGCGATGAAGCTTCCGCTCTCATCGAAGACGGGTGGACCTTTGTAGAAGCCAGGCCTTTATATATTACAAGTTTTCAGGTTGCAACCTGTAGGGTCTCACAATCTCTATAGCTCACATGGAATCCACTCGGACCTGTTGAGCCTCAAGATGTCTCCAAGGAGGGTTACGCCACCCTGGCGACCATGTGCTCGAGACGTGGCATGCGTAGCTTTTACATACGCCCAAAAATGCACATGTTTGCCCACCTCCTGCTCCCTGCCCTGATCAGAATGTGTATATACTTTTGGATGTTTTTGTTTAACCTCAAAACTTGATGAAAAAGGTGGGTTGGGTCCCATAGAAAACACAACTTTATAGGCTGGACCTCAAATATTCACTCCAAGATGAACAATGTCACTTCGTGATCAACCCAGCTTGCCACTGTACATGGAGCGACGAAGATTACATTGGTCGTATCGCTAGGATATCAAGGCGTACGCACCCTTCCTCTGCGCCTGCCAACACGATCAAAAGATCGCTGGGCTACTACCGGCGTGAGTTCTCCAAAGAATTTGGAAAATTGTATATGCGCAGCCCGGCAGCCCGTGACCATTGAGCCACCCGGCATCCGCCAGCAAAAGTGAAGCCAGATGCATCGTGTGTGTGTGTGCGGGTGTGTCTGTGTGTGTGGGCCCTGGGATGCGCTGGGCATGGGGACGGTGGAGACATGTGGAGATCCAACCGTACTACTTTTATTGTTTCGTACTGTTCTTTGGGAATCCGTCATGGATTTCATGAAATCGTCTTCCTTTTTTTTTCGTATCAGAAAAATCTATGTGGATTGGCTCTTCAGGTTTGTAATATTTATAAATTTCGGGCCTCCAAATTTATAAATATTATAAATATTGTAATATTTATAAATTTAATTGCCACGGGATCCTGGAAGTGCCAAATA